GCCCAGTGCCCTCTTTTTCACATGAAGAGCAATCACTATCTTTAGCTGGACATCTCGCCCGTATATGAAGACTACCATCACAAAACCAACATCGTTTCTTAGTGGTCATACTAACAAGTGTTGAGTCCTCAACTGGATGTTATCTTGTTGATTAGTGTGTGGTGACTTAACAGTTTCCTCCACACATCCTGAAGCTGCTGCAATGACAGGGCCTAGTGGCTGGAAGGCTTCCGAAGTATGCTGTGCAAGATCCAAGGCTCTAGCTTGATCAAAGGTATGAGAGAGAGTGAGAGCCTGATTTTCCAATAGACGTTGACGTATATTTGCAGAAGACAGTCCGTTGATGAAGGCATCCCGTACTAACTCTTCACGATATTGTTCGGCTGTGACAGCTTTTAGAGTTCAATCTTTGCTGAGTCTGTGCTAGTCGCGAAGAAATTCGTCCAGTGTTTCGGAAGGACGCTGACGTCTTGTGGCGAGCTAGTGTCTGGCGAATATCTCATTTTTCTTTTTCACATGCACCTTTTCGAACACTTGTATAGCGGTTTCAAACTCCGTAGCATCAGCAAAGTATTCATACACAGTAGCAGACACATGCTTTGTCAAACATCGTAGTTTGTCAGGCGCTCTGTCTCCACACCTGTGCGGGGCCAATCACCATGCAGTATGTGAGAGAGAGCTCGTACGCTGATCCTGGCTGGGAAGTGGAAGGTTAAGACTCGGTCTCCGATAGTAGTCCTCCATCCGCACCTGAGAGCTAGTCTGTCGACGTTCCTGGCTGTAAGCTTATTGGCTGGTAAGCAAACGGCAGGTGATCAGTCGGCAGTTGTAGGGAAAAGTATCCACTACACGGTACAGTAAGTTGCAGGGTGTATTCTTGGAACAATTCTTATGCACAATGTTGATATGACAAAATGTCAGAATCCACATAGATTCCTACCTACAGCACTCGAAAAATGGTGAAGGAATAATAATGAAGTTGGAGTGAAATAACCATAGATTTTTGTTTATTTTTATGCACAAAACTCGAAAGTCTACAGATACAGTTGAGTTATTACAATACCGGGTTAAAGATTCCCCCCTCTGCTTTTGTATTACACTGCATAGAGTTATGTGCATAAAATTAAAAAAAATTTTGTGTGTGTATTGCAACTTTACATACTAGGCAAATACTTCATAATGCAGTATAACAAGTACCATATATAAAACAATATGAAATGAACAAAATATTTGCGAAAAAATCGATATTAAGCAGCTAAACAACACTAAACTAACGTAAGATTTGGTACAGCTACATATGTAAGGCGTTGCAACAGAAATTGATGTGACCAAGTAAAGAAGAAAAGATCATGATGATAAGCAAGACACATCAACATTCAACAGTACTATCATGATTTGGGCACAATCATGGTATGATCATAGCGAATTAACCTAGGTTCATTGTCGGGTAAAATGTTATACTCGGGTCATTGCAATAGCTCCTGAATGTACCTGAATCTGCTCCAGTGTTGGTCAAGTCCTGGGTCTTGAAAGAGCTTACACTCGGTGCCGTCACAACGCTCTCTGGCAGGTTGTTCCAAGAGTTGTCGTAAATTCAGTAACTGTCAGCTTTAGATTATTATAGAAAACATTCTCATGACCTTCTTTCTTTTCACCATAGCAAGCATAATAATATTCTACATCCGCTTTTCTGTACTCTTTTTCTGCTCTGTTCTTGTGTGAGCCCTGCCATAGAGGTACTGTATTGTCGGGTATGTGATATTGGTTCACACTCAGGATGGGATAGAGAAAGGAAACTCACAATGTGCTCTCTGTATACATATTGTATTGGATGTACAATGCAGCTTGGTGCTGGGAAGGCAGCATGGTTACAAGCGTTGAGTAGAGAGAGCTAGTTGGTGAGGGTGCTCAGAGGAGGACCAGCTTGTGGGTCGCCATGGTCGCCGGCTGGAGCGGGAGCCGCCAGGCAGGAACGGAGGAGGAGGTGTTGTTTGCTGGTGGCTGTAAGTAGAAAGAGAGAGGTCACCATGAGATGAGGTCTTATATAGCGGGGGTAGGCGTGGTTTAATAGTTGACCTCAGTCATTGTTAGGCGGTGCTGGTTGCCGACCTAGACCACGAGGCATACACTGGGGAATTCGAGGGTCGGCTAGTCAGCGAAAAACGGCGTTTGTAGGGGAGTCCACTACAATACTCCCCCTTCCTTCCAGGTGGTGTAGGAGACTTGTTGTCTGCAGGGTTGTATGCCACATGTGAGACATAACGGCGAGGGCGTGGATGAGCCGGCCGCTAGGGGAGACAACTTTGTCTAGACACACAAGATCTGTGGGAGAAGAGAGGGAGAAGGAGGGTTGTGGAGGCGATGAATGTTGTGCTTCTCTCGCAGCAGGTACGGAGTCCTCAGATGCGCCTGCTGGGGTGTGTGGGTCTGGGTCGGGAGCAGGGGCTGCATCAGGAAGAGGGTCCATGACAGCAGCAGGGTGCATGACAGGAGCAGGGAGTACCTGAGGGAGAAAAAAAGGGTGTGTGGGGCCGCTGTGGTGCATGGGCCGCTTCGGGAGCAGGAGCTGCCAGGCAGGAGCGGAGGAGGGTCCAGGACAGTGGGAGGGGGTACTGCTGGGCCGGGGGTGGCGTCTGAGGCAGGACGGGTGTGTTGGGGTCGGTAGGATGTGGTGATTGGGGCAGGAAGAGGAGCTGGTGTCTGCTTAGAGCAATGGTTCTCAACCTTGTTTGCCCCATGCACCCCTTTCACCATATGTCAGAATGTCATTCCCCCCTCCTTTCCAAGATTGTCTGCCTCAAAAAGTGCATTCCAAATAATATGCATATAATACTGAAAATCCTTTATTTTTTCCAAATTAGTTTCAGTTTTCTCCCCCCCCCTGAAAACCTGAGGGGGAAAATTCCCCCCTGGTTGAGAACCCCTGGCTTAGAGTAACAGAGCTGCTCTAGGGTGTCTAACCTGCAGTGTAGAGACAGTAGCTGTAGAGCCGATGAGGGCTGCCTCTGTGTGGATAAGCCAGTCTTCCATGTTGCTTGAAGACTGGGAGAGTGATCGGTTTCTCCTCCATCCTGTGTGAGTGCCAATCTCCGGGGTCACCATTTGTGGGGTACGGGATATTGGTTCACACTCAGGATGGGATGGAGAAAGGAAACTCACAATGTGCTCTCTGTATACATATTGTATTGGATGTACAATGCAGCTTGAAGCTGGGAAGGCAGCATGGTTACAAGCGTTGAGTAGAGAGAGCTGGTTGGTAAGGGTGCTCAGAGGAGGACCAGCTTGTGGGTCGCCATGGTCGCCGGCTGGAGCGAGGACCGCCAGGCAGGAGCCGAGGAGGAGAAGGTGTTGCTTGCTGGTGGCTGTAGGTAGAAAGACATAGATCACCATGAGGTGAGGTCTTATATAGCGGGGGTAGGCGTGGCTTAATAGTTGACCTCAGTCATTGTTAGGCGGCGCTGGTTGCCGACCTAGACCACGAGGGAATTCGAGGGTCGGCTAGTCAGCGACAAATGGCGTTTGTAGGGGAGGAGTCCACTACAGTATATTACTAAGGTGAACTGATTTACCAACGCCAATGACATGTTTACCACCATAGAAAATGGTTGACTTATTTATTATATGTGTAACGATCATTTTAAATTGGTCAACGGCGAAAGATAATCAGTTTTATTACGGGTTGCAATTGGTGCAACTAATGATGTGTGTGTGTGTGTGAGTTTGTTTTCTTGATAAGATGCGGAATCGAGAACAGTAGTGGGCTTCAAAATAGCCCATGACAAAACTACCAAGAACAAGGAAGGGATCCTTTCCTTCGGCATGGCCATCTCTAGCTTGGGTGACCATTAGATGAATAAGATAAATAGGATAAATGTGTGCGTTTTATGCATGTGTGTGTACGGTATGTGTGTGTGTGTGTGTGTGTGTGTAATACTAGTTACCACACATGAGATATGAGTGAGTGTTACTGGTTTGGTGGCTGTTATTTGCTTTGCTTTGCTTTTATTCTCTTCACTAATCGGCTTCCTACTGCAAGTGTGAGTGGGTGCGTTACTGCGTGCATGGGGGTGTTACTGCCTGTGTAGGTGTGTTAATACTGCATGTGTGGGTGTGTTATTGCATGTGTATGAGTATAAGTGTTAATGTGTGGGGGCGGCGTGTAGAAACAGGGCGTTCCACCTATCGCTATACAGTCAACTTCGCCTCTTGTGTTACTCTCTTGCTAAATACGATTATAAGTCTCGCCTGTAAGCAGCGGCGCATCAGTGTGAGAAGGAAAGTGTATAACCAAGCGTTGAGAAATGGCAATGCTGTTCCCCCCTTCCTGCCCCGCCACCTCTAGCTATGGGGGGTTTGGGGGGGGGGAGGCGTCAGTTAACAACTAGATTATTGTCGTTCCTATTTTTTCTTCTTTATTTTTGCAATTGATATGCTTCAATACTTATATTTTTACACTTCAGTAGCACCATAATTTTTCTTATAGCCACATTTTTAATAAATGGAGGTCGCTTGCAACCGGAATTTTGGGATTGAAGTTTAAGGTAGACAGAGGCGCTCACCCACCCTCACCCATGATCCCTCCACCCCCCAAGTTACCTCCTTCCTGTTGAGACAAATTCCTTCTCTCCGAAAGTAATGTAGCATTTCAGATTATTGTCTATGACATTGAACAAGAATATTTTTAATGCAGAATATCGTGTATGGGGAGGTAGGGGTGAAGGATTTAGGTGTAAAATAATTAGATATAAGTCTTGAGATCTTTCATACCTTTTCCCCCCTCACCCCCCCTCTTCCCCAGAAATAAGTGCCAAGTATTTAATATTTGTAACTGTATTTCTCAAGTGTCTTCACGGATAGTAATATCTATGGAACGCTTTTGTAGGTTAATATACATTATTTCGAATAGATATGAGAATGGAAAACAATTGATGATTGAGGTGTGTGAAGGTGACATATTAAGGCAGTATAAAGTGTAGGCGGCACCTCGGCTCACCAGTACACAACTTCGCACTCATTCATTGTGTTGGTGGGGAGGATGTCTTAGTTATTTTGCCAATTTGAGGCTGTGTTACTCCTCCCAGGGGATGCTACGTCTCCCACCGCCCAGTAGTTGAGCCTCAGTTAAAGGTGAGAGTGTCACCAGTGTGGGGAATACGTGAAATATGGAAAAGTAAAGGAGTAAATGAGTGTTAATAGTGGCAAGTCCGCGTGGCTCTGGCTTGGTGACTCAGTCATGTTGATAGTCTTCTCTCAGCCTTTGTGAGCTACTGAGTCTTGTTTGTTGTGTCTCTCACCCTCCTACTCCACACGTCACACTTTAACAACTCTAGAGTTCTTTTGTAAGTGTTTCTTTTGTGCTCTTACGTATAAAAGCTTATAAAATTTTTGTTGTAAACCTATAACAACACCTTAACCCTCACTCTCATTTTCACCAACACTCTCGCCCTTTACCTCCACCCTCACATAAGAAATACCTAAAACATATTTGAGTTCAGTAATGGAACTCAATTTGATAAATATACCGGTATATAAAGATTCCATAAACTTGACAATGAATGGTTTGTAATTTTAGCTGAGAATGTCAAAAGAAAATTACTGAATTTACTGTAGGAAATGGCAAGTAACACTTGACTTCAAAAATCATCATTGAATTATGTTAAGTCAGGTTGGAACAGTTGAAAAAGTAACTTGTAACCGTAAAACAATTTGCTGGGGTATGGCGGAAAATTCTCAAGAAACAAAGTATTTACCTAGCAATTAGAAAACAAATGTATTTGGATTTTTTTTTCAATGATTATTTGTCTAATATCATTCAGGTTGGAAAGAGTTGGTTGGGCCCAGTTGTGCTGATGTTGATGTGTAGCCTTTGAACTTGTTTTTTGTCTTTGACCACAGTTTTATAATAAGGTAGCTATGTGCTGAGGCTGGTGCTGGACAACTCGTACCTATCAGAACATGTTAAGTCTTACCCAATTACACAAGATAATTCGTATCCAATTTACGAGACAGTTCATACCCATATATATATGCCTATTCCTGGCATATAAGTCGATTGCAGAACTTCCAAGCTACAAAGCAGCTTCCCTTTGATAATCTGACTTCACGTCCTTTGATAGTCATGTATCACAGTCGGGTTATTTGGCGACTTTGTGATACATGACAATCAAAAGACGTGACGTCGGATTATCAGAGGGATGCCGCCTGGGTCACTGACCGTGCTAATCTCAAGTTTTTGGAGGTCCACTAATCCTATGTGAGTGAGTTCAGTTTTGAATATAAGCTCAGACTTCATTTCATAGCTCCAGTACCGTTTCAGCCCTTCTCAAGTTCAGTACTTGTAGTGCAATGTTTGTGTGACGGAATAATATACTTATGTAATGATATGCAACCATTTTAAAGCGCTGCATTACATTTCACTATTTCATTGCACTTTCCTACAAGATTTACATAATCTTTTTTTGTAATCATAGATAAAGCTAAAATGCATGGTATATATACTAATAGGTATGGATTATTTCTTGAATTGGGTGCAAGTAATCTTGAGTACGACTTATCTCGTGAGTTGGGTACGAGTTAACTTTTTTGGGTACGATTTATCTAGGGTACAAGTTGTCTTGGGTACGAGATGACCCTAATCCTGCTGAGGCCATCATGAAGAATTCATTCTTTTTTTATAATTTTCGAAAGTTACTATTTTCTTCAAGAAAAAATAACTACATTTATATATATTTTTGGCTAATATGGAGGATTTCACAGCCGCTTCCCCCATCTCAGTAAGTTTGCCCACGGCAGGTGTTAGGTTATGCCAGTTTCATTTAGGTTAAGGTTAGGTTTGGCTAGGTTTGATTAGATTGGGTTAACTTGAATTTTTAAATAAACACTTTAACACATTTGCCATAATTACGATAGTGTCCACTGTAGAACACAGTGAAATTGCGGCATTCTTAAATTCATTTTCTATGAAAAATCAGCGCTGTGAGATTGTAAGTAATTACCATATTTTTTAATTCAGAACATAAAACTACAAGAGTTTAATTTGTTTTTATTTAACATTTTTGCAGTTCATCAAACCAAAAAGACTCGGGCAGACTATGCAATTATATGTTTCTAAAATGTTTTTTTTTTCTGACATAACCTAACTTGATAACTTATTGACAACTGACCCTCCCTCGATTTTGCATAGTAAACGGTTAAAAAAACGATGCAATTTGTTATGTTTTATAGAGGATATTTATAGTTTGTGCAAATGTTTTATTTTTTTATGACAACCTAACATAAAACTTAATACCTGCTGTGGGCATGCATACTGTTACTGAGACGGGGTGTGCCCATTTTGTCACCACATTTTTTACCCATTTCGTCACCACTTCTTTTTACCTGTTTCATCACCGCGTTCATTCCTATCACCATTTCAAGGGCTTTGGACCTTCATTATGTATTCACTGAAGCAGTCAAGACGTAACTGCTGATTTACTATCTTTGTGTACATACATTGGATCATGCAAGCATCTCACTAAGACAATTTATTAAAGAATGCATTTATGGACAGTAACTGATAAAATGGTTTTTGTACTATTTTAAATGTTCCATCTATATACCACTGTCTTGTAGAACTTAAAATGTGAAGCTGATTATCGGTGGCCATGACTATGTGACGTGCAGTAGTCTGGTCATCATCATTGCATATCTGTATATCTGTTCTAATGAAATCAGGTGGCAGGCTGTCAGAAATGAGTTCAAAGTTGAGCTGAGTTGGGTGGTGTGGTCTTTGAGCTTGGTGATGTCTGTTACCTTGTTTGACAATGCTGCATGGTTTAGGCAACTGGTGGGCATTAGGGTGGCTCTGTTTGTAGCTAGTTAATTTCTCATCAACAATTTGAGCAGCCAAAGTGAAGTTGTCACGTGCACATCGCTCTTTGACAGCTACAGATACTTTTGTTGTAGGAAGAAGGCCTGGTGTTCCAGGGTGGTTGTGAGCTTGTAGACCTGTCTTAAATGTTGTCCCTCGCTGAATTACACTTACAGGACACTTGTTATTCTTCTGGTGGATTCTACAAGTCCAGTAAAAATACAGACTCCTTTTCTTTTCTTACTGTGTATGTGTAGCCATCAGAGCTGTGCATCCATAGCTTTCCAATGGCACAAACCATGGGAAGCTATTGTTGATCATCTGGAAGGTTATCTAGTTATCAGTTCATCTTGAAGAGATATTTCTTGTACTGGGGTGACTGCCTCAATAGGAAAACTAACTGTGAATGAATTGTCAGCACGAGAAGAAGACTCATCCAAGGGGAAGTCAACAGTAGCAGGGCATTTTGGACAGTGCCAAGCAAATGATCCACCTTTCATTTGCCTATTTGCCTGTACATATCCTGGGTGATGGTTGTGCCACACTTCCTGTGTCTCTACTGATGGCAATAATCACAGGAGAGAGCCTGCTGCCACATCCAGAACAAAACTGAATACAACTTGTAGAAGCCATGCTGAGTTTAAAGGCAAGCTTGGTGTTGTGGGTGGCAGTGCTCAGCAGCTAGTGTGCTTCTTACGAGTGTTAAGATCACCCATATCCACTTGGTAAGGTTGGCCAGTTAGTCACGTGACAATGAACGTGTTGACAGTCGTAATTTTTCGTAAGATGGCAGGTCAATGGGTAAAGAAAACACTTAAATTCACTATGGTGATGATATTTTTTAATAAGTTGGGGCAAAAAGTGTCAAAAAATAAGGGTTAAAGTTGCTAAAAGGTCACGTGACTGTGGCGTCAGTTTGGGGACGAGCTTCCCAGCAGGAGGCAGCCAACTGATCGTCTATGTAAATAAATATTATTAGATAATTAATTGTGCTTTACTGTGGAACACAGTAATACTATTTTAAAGATATAAATATTACTGACCACATAAACTAATTCAGTGGATATTAGCTGCCCATACAACAAATTTCACAGTATAAACATTCCAAACAATATTGGTATTATTTTGGTTTTGGTCATCTGGGGAACCTTAAGATTCTAACTATGAGAGTAAGTACTTTAAACAATAAGACACATTATCTCTCTGGGATTTTTGTCGCAAAACATTTTTCAATCGCATAAGAAAATACAGATCATAGGTTAGGTTTGGTTATGATGAGTTATAAGGTAAGCTTAACATACATCGGTACGGGGGAGGGGGGTAGTAACTCAAAACTAGTGATTTCCGATAGAAATGAAGGTCTAAATCATTCATAACACATCCCAAACTACCAGAAAAAAAACACACACTCTGCATGTCTAAGTACAGGAATGACCAAAACTTAAAATTTACCCAATATAGCCCATCTCGAATCTAAACATCCAAATACTTATGGTAGTTAAAATAAAATTGTACCCATTAATTAATATAAATGATGATATATCCCAATGGTTCATAAGTGAATCATCAAAACAATAACAGCACTATGTTGTCGTGTTTAACTACCATCAGGCATTATCAAAACAAAGTCCAGATAATGTCATTAGTACTTCTAAATTTACTCGTATGTCCATCTAGTACTGATATACTCTGTAAATACACGGAAAAAAAAGAGAAAGTCTACCAGGTAAGAGTACATGACAGCTGAGCTGATGTGAACATGGGAGTTTTTTATGTCCAAAAGAACATACGAATGGAGGAAACCGCAGCGGGCCTATTGGCCCATACTGGGCAGTCCCATTTACACCTAACCCCTATCGCACATATATCCATCCAACCTATGTTTGAAGCTGCTCTTCACAGCACATTTCTTCGCTTACAAAATATCCATGACTTAGACCATAAAAAAAAACACCCTTAAAACTTACCTGAATGTGGCACTTGGGATCTGAAGAGGCCATCCTTTGTACTAGTGTACTACCTCCGACTGCAGCGATGAGTTTGAAACTCGTGACATCATTCCAAATGGCGGTCCTGTTTCTAGAGAAATAAACTTATGTCGACTATTATAGCAGGACTTTAAACTTTTATTACAAATTATATACAGTATAGCGTATCACTCTACCAACGTGGCAGAGTGTATTTCTTGTGTTTACCCAGACCCGTCAACTCGTTGATTTCAATCAGTCTTGTCACCATTGTAAGATGTAATTAAAATGCACATTAGTTATCTATATGT